TAAACGACTAGTTGTTCTGCATCGTTGATTAAGTAATTAAACGTTTTAAGCGGAAAAACTGAATTCATTAAGTGCTTTGATTCGCGCACAATTTCAAACGTATACATTTTTAAAGCTTTTGCCCTCGAGACAGACTACGTGCCACGATTTAAGTACTGTACCGCGAATAAAAATTCTGTGCTGTTTTCTTTGGGTTGAAGCTTGTTTTATCCGGCGTTTCATTAAAAAATGTATGGACGCGGCAACGCACCTTTTATGATGCCACTGCTGTACATATTTTTGCTCGTCGGCTGGCTCTACCAACGTGTCCTTCCTTATTTTATTAGCAGAATAGATTCTCACACGATTTTCCGAGAAGTGAAGTTGAGAATAGAAAGACGCAAACCGTTAGTTTTCTCTGATCTATTCGAACGTCTATCGCCGGGGGATGAATCGTCGCATTAGTCATTAGCCGAAACGCGGTTACGTTGGGATTAACGAGACTGAAAGAAACGCAATTTGCTAGAAAATTAATGTTCGAGCTTTCCAACAAAGAGATCAAATTCCAATGTAAACGGACTTTTTATTGTTCGAAAGTGACAAAGCATTCTGAGACTGAAAAAGCTCGTAAGAAGTCTGCTAACACCGTATTAAGCTGGCCACTGATCCAATCAACCCGGAACACGTAAATGAAGTAAAATACCTACATCTGTCGCGTATTACAAAAGCTCGAGGAAGCGATGCACAAAATCGTCGGTCTACGCTTATAACGTCGACATTAAAATGGAAAAGCTCGTCCAATCGGAAAGCTCGCGGAACTGTTTTACACGGTAAGCGCGTTGTTGATTCAATTTTAATTCCATCCCGGCAGAATTTCCAATGGTTCACGCGAAACGCGTTTTTATCGTTTTTCGTCGCGCTTTATCGGGAATCTAAATAGGCCGTGGAATAAGAAAATGACCCGATCAAAAATTAGAACGATATTCGTCTCGTGCGATCTTTATTTAGACGTCGGCTTCGCGTATCTGTGGAGGATCTTCGTGTTAGCGGGTGAACACCTCGCCTGGCTACCGGATGCCCAAGACAAATTACGTGTGCATGTCTTTGGGTTGTACGGAATGAAAAAAGGGAGAGGAAAGAGATCCTAATCGAAGGGAAGAAAATATCTCGGGCGCACGCATTCCTTCGATAACCATTTTTCGAAAATGAAGAAACGCTATTGCTAGACGAAGGATATTATACTACCGTAGAAAACGAATTTTAGTAAAATGTAACATATAACATATAATAAAAGGATTGTAAATAAACACGTACAACATCGAAAATCCTACTGCACATTCAATACAATATATGGATCAATTGAAAAGCTCAGAATCGGTCAGCTCGATTTTGACGTGACTTGCCACTTGGATTTTCTAATCGTTCGATGACCATCTGTTACATACCGTTATGATATGATCGTTTATTGCTTCGAACTTTTAGAAAATCCAAATGGGTAGTCACGTCAAAATCAAGCTGACCATTTATTGCCCTGAGCTCTTCTATTATTTTCCTATTTTTATTAGTGTTATTCCATATCATATTTCTTCATTGATAACCAGATTTTTGATAAGGGTAATAAAATAAATCGAGTACGATTGAAGTTAATTAAAATTCGTTTGATCAAGGAGCAAATTTATTTTTTCATGAAACAGTGATATCCTTTTCCCACTTTTCCCACGCACTCCCAAAGATTAAATATCAACGCGATCCGCCGCGCTGCAAATAGAAGTAAAATTAATTCGTTTCGTTTGCGGTAAGTAACGAACTACTGAAAATGCCTGAAGGTAACTATATACATAAGAAGCTCAATCTCGAACGCAAGACGCCGAATGTTCACGCAGACATGAATTTTCATCCTAGTAGTCTCGGTAAACATGGTAGAAAATTTTGAAAAGCGACCCGGTCTTAAAATATACAAATCGTAAAAGAATCTTTAACATTTTTAGCTCACGATTCTTATATGTGTATAATGAAAGTGGAAACGTCATATATTCTCAATCGAGTAGTAATTTCGTCCTCTGATTTCGAAATATAAACTGACTTTACTACGGTTTATTCGACTTGCACTCTTCATCATTTTTATTCATATTTCGTTATTAAACTGCCTGATAATTTCGAAACAACTTCGTTCATCTCTTCTGTGGACGTAACGTATCTGTGTACACGAAACGCTTTAGCGAGGTTCCGGATTTCGAATTTTATTTAGTTAAACGAAAAAACGTTCGGAGTTTAATCAGAGAAAAACTGAAGATTGTAATTGGAACATTCGATGATATCGATAATACCTAGCTGGTTGGAAGCTTCGTGGAATAGAACAATCGAGCGTATTTTCCATGAGATTCCACGATTCTTTTGTTGAACCGTAAAGGCATTTCATCCCCAGTTCCGTGACGAATCGAGAAATTTAAGTGGCGCATATTAAACGTTTGCAAAATTAAACAAGACGAACTTGCCACATTTTAATCACATAGAAAATTCGGACACGCGAAAATGAATTTTCAACGTATCTTAAATATCTGATTACTGGCTAACCAGTAGTAGAAGCAAGTAGTTCGCTTAATGTTACCCGAATATTTGCGAAGGAAATTAAAAACTTCAGATAACTGCTTCTTTTTCATAGCACCGCGAAGAAAATCGCAAAAGTCGTTCCACGTTTACGGCACGCAAATTAGCTCTCGTTGCCTGAACCCGTGGTAGTTTCGAGAAGTGTATTTCAATTCGAATTCAACTACGTAAACGGAGATCAAAGAAAAATGAACTCGGATCAACGACAATACAAGGGACAGTGTTTCGCGTCCAATTTGAGATCAGAGCGCCGAAACATTGGATCGGTATACGGATCGCTGGCGAAGGAACGTCGATAAAATTGCGAATAAATATTTACGAACGAGCTGGAGCTCGTACCCGGCAAACGAGCCGTTTCCTGGTTTCAGACAAATTGTCTGCGCGTTTCACGACACTGCTCCCCATTTAGCCCTCTCGTTTTTCCTCTGTTCTCAGCGCAGCTTGTATGACTTTCACCTTTTACACGGCAGAAGTAAGCATTTGTTGCACGCTCGCGGAGCGGACAAAGGACGTCGGGACATTGTCCAGTCGAAAGGATGGCTTTCAATTAAATAATTTTTGTACGCGAGCGCTACGTATATAAAAGAAGAATTGATAAGTGAACAGAAAAAAATGGATACAACCGTAAAAAGAGACTTTGAACAAGCGTGGAGAGGCGAATATGTTACGCGACGTGCTCAAACGGACAAGATTTACCTTCACGAGAGATTACGATTTAGCATTTGAAATGCAAAAAATATTTGCACTACGTTTTAACAAGTACCAAATATTTTTTTTAACAAAATGTTCTTGGAACCCTGCAGATAAAAATTGTTATAGTAAATCTGTTGGAGTTCCTAATTTATTATAGGACACAAATGCAGAGATAAAAGCATGAAAATAATAGATGAGAAAATGGTTTAAAACTTTTTTTATGCTATAATCGTAACGCAGTTTCCCGCCAGTAATCTCCAATATAAAATTATAATTTGTTCTTACGGATGGTATTGTCTTGCGATTTACTAGTGTTTAATACTAATGGAAGTCTATGCAAGAGGTTTTGAAGTAGAAGGCAAAAGGCTTACCTTCCAGAATCTTTGGCGGCCCCGTTGACGCCGTAGAGACGTGGAAAAGTAATCTATCCGTCAGCTAGTCATCATAGTAATCGGTGCTCGATGATGTTCACCACCACTAATTCACTGTCACAAAACGTGTCACGATAACGCCGCAATATGTCATCGTTGACGGTGCCCGGTATTCTTGTTTCCACGAGAAACTGTACCGCGAACCGTCGCGGAATACGATGAACGATGAAACGAGCAATTCCGCGAACGATTCCGCGGCGAACGCACGACGTGTATGGAAATAAAAATTACACTAGAATTCTACTTACGCAGCTACGTACAGCGCTTGCAAGCGCGCGACGGTCGCTACACACTAACTGCCGCTTCTTCGCTTGAATTTCGACCACCCCGACCGCCGCCAGCGTCACAGCCAATCATCATCGCCCTCCTCCGCCGTTCTACCGACCCCCACCATTGTAATCGCCGTGGCAGTATCGCAGAACCGAATCTATCTTCGCGGTCGCGTCTTTTTTTATACCTCTCTCCCTCAAGAGTTAATCCTGAAATGATCTTGTTTACAATTAAATACCAGGCGTAAATGTAAACTTTTATATGAAGTCGTAGAGTAGATTTTTAATACGATCGATCGGCATATCGATCGATGCAGGATGGCATTCGAGTTTTTTAACGATCTGAAGTAGTTGATGAATCGATTAGTCGGTTAGTACAACTTAGCTTCCTATAACAGTCGCATTTGCCTCTTCGTTTTCTAAAGTATGTATGTAAAACGTTTTTCGCTCTAGTTCGTTTTTCTATTCTTTAGTCGTGTCTTAAAGAATGAGAATCGTATTGTGGGAGGTATTACTTTGTCGTTTTAATGTATGCACGATTAGACTTGCTTAATATAAACTTTAGTTACTTAAGGAAATACACACCATCGTTTAATTTACGCGAGTTATCAGTGTTTATGTCATTAGACAAATGTTGTGTTGTTTGTTTGGTTGATGAACTTGTGCCGGTTAGGAGTTTCATGGATACTAGTTAAGAACTTTCAAATCTTCCTCGCTAGGAACCGGGATTGGAAGGGTAAGTCTTATATTTTTCTTATGTTATGTAAAATTTTCCGCACTATTTATAGCAAAATAACAAAATGTATTTTACCCATCCCTTCAAACAAATTTGTCGATTTTCGTATCGTAAAAATCGTCCGCTCTCAAACGAATCTTCTATCTTTTCTGAATGCCTTAACGTTACATCTGATGACATCTACTGGATCATTTCAAAATCTACCTTTATAAAACCCGATGTTTAATTGATTTCGTCAAATTTGAGTAGACGTATAGAATCGGGTATGAAATAAAAGCACACGCGTTAAAAAGAACTATACTTTTTTTATTATACAAAAAATTAATAGTTTGTACAAAAAGGTATATCCTTAAGTTCTAAAATGTTCGCATCGTGATTCGTAAACAATTACCACTTAAAATCGAACAAGCGGTTATCGAATTCGTAACTACAATCATAGTAAGACTTGTTACGATTTTCAAATTTAATGCATTCATAATTATGTACTTTACGAACCAGTAGCGATAGTAATAGTTTATTTCAATCCTAATCACGACCGCACATTCGTAAAAACAATGATAAACAACAGGCATTCATTTACAGTACGTACGAGAACTATGTAACAATTATATATTATGCATGTCAACGGCTTAGATAAAAAAAAGTTAAAGTCACAAAGTGGCACATCTCGTGGTGTTCAATTCACAAGACAATCAGCAGAAAACGAATAATAAAATACGATTGAATCGATTAAATTAAATACGGACACGAGTTTGCGTTTCGACGAACTTGCAATAAGAGAAACGTAGTTCCTTCTTAGCTCAAATGACATACGACGCTTTCCCTAATCGCCTTAAGTTAAAAACCCACCACCATTTGTACTTGTATTTTTTTTTTTCAAATTTACGGCCCGTTTACGAACATCAATGCAAATAAACCGCTCAAAAAATCTATGTATGGGTGACCCGACCGAGTAATAAGAAAAGATAACATTAAAATAATAAGCTAGACTATTGTAAGTGCATAGAATCCGCTAGATCGGTTTTGGGATTACGATGATTGAGCTGCCAGCATTTCTTCCTGCTGTATTTTTCTGCGGTAGTTGTCCAAAGTAACTTGTATAGTCTTCTCGGAATATCGGCAGTTTTCGGCTCCACAGGTACATGTGAACGACTTGCACTTTATTATCCAGAATTTCTCTCCGTAATCGAAGCTGAAGGCAAATAATTCCGATATTGGTTTCTCTTCGTTGACAAATACATTACATTAAATGAACTAACGGATGGTTGAGAACAACGAATACAACATATAAAAAAATGTGTATACTTTCGTATCGATCTTGTCAAGCAGTACATTCTTCGGGATGAAACTTATCATGAACGTAATCAGTAAGAGAAAAGGAAAATAAAGCAATATCGTACTCTATGTCAATACACGTCTATTTTGAGATACGAAAACAATATTAAGCTCACATAACTGAAAACAATTAAACAGAATTTCAAACGAAACGAAGAAATGAAGATCATGAACGATAATAACTGAATAGAATCTACTAACGAAACAAATAACGAGAGTTTAGTATGATGTATCGGGATTTCTGCGTGCCATTCGTTACTGTGTAACATACCCGAGCTCTTCATCCGCCTCGATGTCGCGATTCGCGAAAAACGCTATCCTAGGAAAGTGCAAATCCTGATGCTCGACGAACACTCGCACTGGCAATAGATTAGGTGCGCATGAGTGATTTATGAAGCGTGCGATGTTCCCATAACGCCTCGCATCGATGCAATACGTTTCTCCATCCTAAACAGAAACCACGAGAATTCAATTTTCGACAAAAAATCTATCTCACATATGAAGTGTTTCACTCACTCTATTATCTAAGTCAAACAAATAAGAATCGTCCTCCCGATGATCCGCTTCAGAATCTGAAATAATCTCACCAACGTACTCGCATACATAGGAACCTTTCGGAATGTGCCGCAACGTTCTCAGGCCCCATCCTTTACCTTTGGTTCGGAACAATTGAAATCTCTGCGTCAAACCATGTTGGACGACACGATTGTTACACGTTATACGATTGCAGTCGCAGGCTGGGTTACATTCGAACAACATTGGCGGATCTGAACGACAAACGTAGTTTCAAAGGTGATCGTATACGTTTGAAGTTTAGACATACTCGTGAAGTATACCTGCATAATTAAATTCAGGAATCAGCTTTCCCTCTTCATCGTACCAGCATCTTAAGCTTATGTTTCCGCATAGACACTTTTCAGAACTACAATTGTCTTCACACCGGCAAGATTGTAAAGACGTTATCGTACGATCGACATTTATATTACTAGTAAAACAATTCTCTGTCACGTAGAGGAAATCTGTAGGTTTATCTTCAGAATCGAAGCCGTTCACACATTGTATAGGATTCGCTTCCTTGCCACGTGAAATGTCACTGTGGAAAATATTTTAATTATTAAATACAATTTGTTCATATTCTTCCATTAAATATTAATCGATCGGATAATTACTTAGTTAATATCTTCACAGTTTTCTCCCACATGTGTTCAGAAAGTTCGTTGACTTTGGCATTTAATCTTAAAGCGGACATAGTATCACCGTCGTTCGTGCAGCAGTTCACTGCTGTTTCTCCAGCGGCATTGACTTCTCCGATCTTGGCACCACGAGCCAATAAAAGAACACTAACTGCGTACTGATCTTGTCTCGCAGCAATGTGTCTGTAACATGTGTTTAAAAGATGTTAATCATTTCCGATAACGTTAAGAACAAGTTATAATTGTTCCAAAACTCACAAAGGTGTATCGCCGTGAACATTAACAGCATTCACGTCGCAGCCTTCATTAAGCAACATCTCTGTAATCTCTGAACTTCCGCTATAGGCGCTCCAATGTAACGCAATGTTCTGTTCCGCGTCACGAATCAAAGGGTCGCATTTTTTTTCCAAGAGAAATCGTGCGACATCGGTATGACAAAATTCACAAGCCCAGATTAAACTAGTCCACCCACCATCGTCCACAGAATCTGAGAAACATAAATACAAATCATCAAATACGATATTTAACTGATTCGGGCGTCGGAATAATAATTTAATATATTTAATAAGCAAAAACTTTTAATTACCTACTAATGTTCTTGGTGCTTTACACTCAGTCAAAATTATTTTACAAACATCCAAATAACCAGATTTGGCAGCCATATGCAAGGCTGTCATACCGTCTTCGCCTTTCAACGTAACGTCGGCTCCTATCCTTACCAGATATTTCACCACTTCAGCTTTACCTCTGCTGGCGGCCAACATTAGCGGTGTCAATTGATTTCTATCCATCACGTCTAATTGAGCGCCTGCTTGTACTAACACGTGTACGCAAGACAAATGGCCTTTGTCGGCGGCTATATGAAGCCCAGTACGATGAGCATAATCTCGGAATGTGTGATTCGCGTTATATCCGCATGCTGAAACATGACGATTCGTTCACGAGAAATCTCTCACGAATTCAAAGCCAAAGTCGTACGACAACGCACCTAAAACATTGACCAATTTCTCTAAATCTCCGTTTTTCACAGAAGTGTAGAGGCTCATGATAGTGTATCGTTCCGGCCTCTCGGTATTAATGGATGGCTCCGGTATTTTAATTATGTCCGGTTGAATTAGAGGACTAGGCGGACGTTCTGCCAGTTTCGTATTGTCACCTTTCCCCGGCAAGCTCATTTTCGCCGAAGGTAGTTTCGAAAACTTCTTTCGAGTAGGGATGAATACCGGTTTTCTCAAACCGCTCATAGTGACCATCACGTCGTAAGCTGCGCTTTCGTTTCCGCAGTGCGGACATACTCCTTTTTTATTCGGATAAACCTCGCACTCGCGGTGATACTGATGGCCGTTGATACATTGCACAAATTTGCCTTGCGAGCAAAACAGGCCACACGAGGGGCAACAGTTATGCCTCAGAAGCCTTTCTTTGTGCATTCGGCACAGTATGATGAAAGGAACACGAGTACTCGGCCTTCTCATTGCCACGTCATTGCTGTCTACTTCGTTGCAGCATCCTACTAATCTATTATCAATTGCATCTATTGCGGTACAATATAAGGGTGCACCGCTACCAGTTATGGTTACGTATAATTGAGATCTTACTTGACATAAACACAACATCGACTGGCCATACGTCTGAAAGATGTGACAAAATTAAAAGAAACACCGTACAATAAAGAACAAACATCCCGTTATTATGAAGTTGAATTATTATACTTCGCTCATGATTGCTGTTGATTCTGGTTTCGAGGCTTGTCCTTCTGCTGGACTCGGACTCGGAGCCATACTTCTCCTCGTTCTTTTAGCGGGTACAGTACCTTCTAAAATATTATGCGTTCATTGAAATTATCGTTCTACAACAATTATTATCCGTGAAACAAACAGTTTCGAATATTACCTTCAGGATAATCATTGTTCTTGCCTGTTTCAGCGATTGATACCGATCCATCTAAGGAAATACAATATAAATTATACTCCGTAATGACGTTAATTTATATGACTTGTTATACCTTCGAACGAATCTGCTTTAGCTATTTTCCTAGCAGCTTGACTTCCTCTAGGTCTTCCCCTTTCTCTCTTAGGTCTGCCAGCAGCAGGCTTCAAAAATGGTTTCTCAATATCTGCTAAAGGCACATCATCGCTTGCAGGACTGCCAATAGAGTTGCTCAACTTGGTTTGAGAATCTGAGCTTTTTATCATGGGAGACAACTTTGGCATACCATCGAAGTCGGATGAAAAATGTTGAGGTTCATCCAAAATAATCTCATTTAAGCTAACGTCCGATATGGTACTTTTCCTAGAACACTCTAACGTCGAATTTAGTTCTGAAATACTAATGTTTCCATCTGAAATGGAATTGTCTACTTCTTGACGTATCTCAGGTGGTTTAGCTTGTTTGCTTTGATCTTTCGGTTGCACTTGGATTTTCTTAGGCCTTCCAGGTTTACTGTACTTTCTTTGTTTTTTAAACTGCAAGTTCTCTTCTGTATAATTAGATTTTTCTTTTCTTGCCATTGCACTCTCCAGTACGGTGCTTTTCAATGATTCCTTGCATAATCTCCTTGCTGAACGTTTGGGGCATGGTGCTTCTTCTACGTTATCACTAAAAATATCATAAATGCTTATAAATATAATGATTAATATATTAATTAGTTCAGAAATAAAATTAGGAACCTAAGTGCTCTCAGTCTTGGACGTCCTGTTCTTCTCTTTCTGGTAACAGGAGTCATAGGATCTATTTGATTTAGTTGTTCCTTAGGTTCTGGCAAAGCATCTGCTTCATCAGCTTTTGGTTTCTCATTGGGAACCTCGATCTTATCTTCTGTTTTCAATTCAACGTCCTCTTTAACAGGTTTTGTTTCTTCTGCAGCCTTCTCTGGTTCCTTGTTTATCTTATTTTTTGATGATTTATCTACTTTCCCCTCCTCTGTATCAGATTTCTCAACAGTGTCAGAGTTTTCATCCAAGTTTTCTATTTTAACAGAGACACCACCAATCTGGTCACAGTTCGACAATTCCTCAGGATCCAGAGTGATAAGGTTGGAGGAACAGCTGGATATTTTTGTTTTTTTTCCATGATCCGTGTTCTCGTCAATTGTTCTAAATGTAAGGACAATACGCGGAATCGCGTTATCTTTTTTCGAAATGTCCTGTTTCCCACTGGTCTCGTCATCCTTATGATTTTCCTCTTTTGCCACCGCGTCTACGTTATTTTGTTTCGTCGAGACGGGTTCCTCATCCTTTTCCCCGATGGATTCTTTCTCGATCGGTGGCATATCGTCGGACGTCACTGTCGGTTCGTCGGTCTTGTCTTGATCGGACTTTTCCGATCGGTTAATCTCGGCATTCTTCAAGGGGTTAATGCTCTTGTTAAATTCGTTGGTCATACCCTCGAGAATTTGTTGAATGCTGACCTTATCTTCGACCTTTTCGGCAGCCATATCTTTTCCTTCGCCCCCTTTTTCACAACCCTCCATCGTGGCATCTTCTTTGTTCTTGTCATCCGACATAATATCAAATGTTAACTGAAAGCTACGTGTCTTTCAATTTATAAGGACACCTCATCGTAGTTAAGGACGATCGATGAATTAATCGCCGAACGCCGAACCGTAACTCGAACGTTGTCGATGGCCTTCCGCAGTAGTATTTAAAGTATAACTATATCGTCGGTGGAACACCTTCTAATTTACTTTCTGACTGAATACTGTCGCCGATACCCCGATAAACACTACGAAAATATCTCTCCGTACGCACTTTAACAGCTTGACTAATTGCATTATCACAGAAACTATCCGTTCTAAAGTTTTTCGGAGAAATATCTATGCAACACCAGCGTGCCCCGTGTAGACCTGGAGGCCATATTGATTACTCAGGGACGGGCCGATTTGTCCGAGGAATTTATTTTTAAAACGATCGCCGTCACGAGCCCTTTCAATATTCAATTATTTACCATCTCCTAATTTTGGAATGTTATACGATATCCCCGGTATGCTATGTCGCGTCTAAATCGCTCAAAAACGTGTGAAATGCAAAGAGAGGTGGACAATGAGTATGTATATGTGTGCGGCACACGATCGTGAGACTACATACGTACACATGGAAAACAAAAAAGATAATGAATTCTTCTGTAACTCATTATACTCTCGCTTATAATAGATCAAAAGCGTATTCTACATGTAGACACAACTTCTTATCAACGCTTATTTCTTTCGTAGTTTAAAATGAATATCAACTATTTAATTTACTTATTATTTAATTTGCATATTTTTATACGCAAGATTCCGGTTTAATAAATTGAAAGAATATTCTAGTGTATTGCTTACCTATACGTAAAAAAAATTGAAGCGAAGTATATGTAGCATATATTGTTTTACCTCGAATACAAGATTAATATATTTATATCCGGCGATGTGCCAAGCCTATATGTATATATTTATGTATGTATATATATATATGCAGTTGACCTTTCGATCAAAGATCCTCATGCAATTAACTTCGTACAACTACTATTCATGAAAAGATCAAAATTGTTGCTACGAAGCGGAATCATTACAATGCGATAATAGCATCGCGCATGAGCGCCTGACAAGAAGTCTCAGAAATTGCTTAGCATTACGTGGCAGTACTTATAAACCACGATAAAAATACACGCGTAACTAAGAAAATAAATAATATACACCCGCTCCGCGACATAGTCGATCATATATATCGTCGAATTAATTTACGTCAATTACCGAGGTGTAACGAGAAAGGGTAAATAAAAGGCGGGCCGATGATGTCGTATAAATATAAGTTTATTTACATTGCAACAGATCCTTTTGTCAAATAAGCGACAAAGGGTGATTACGTGTGTAGACTGAACAAAGTTAATGAATAAATGTTAATTAAAAATAATAATTACAACGTTCTAGCCCAGACACGCCTTCTTATTTAAATAATGTACACTTGTTGAAACTCGTAGAATCTAGGAGACGTGAATTAATTGTGCTTTCCTTACGGAGACGTCGTTTTTCTTTTTTTTTTAATAGCTTCGTTACGTTTTGGTTTCCTTTTCGCTCCATCGATCCTGACTGCGATCGCCGCCATGCGATTTGGTATCATTATTTTACAGATGACAATGAGACGCGTGAAAAAAATGTCGCTGTTGTTTACTCAGTCGAGTTGCAGAGACCGCTGCAAGGCCGCACGAGGAAGAGAGAACCGCGACTGCGGAAATTCGATTTTTTTTTATTTTCCTTTCTTTTTCGTATACTCACGCGCGTCTCTACATAAGAAAAGAAGCGTAAACGAAGAATGATAGGAACGGTTTACGCGTTCAGTACGATGCCGCATCTCCTAATAACGATTTTCTCCTTTTCCTTTCGATTTCTTCTTTTTTTTCAAAGTTTTTCTTTCTTTTCTTTTTCTAGAAAAAACGTCGAACATACTACATTTATTTATATCTTTACAAGCATTATAAAAAGTTGAGCATCGTATTGCATCAGTGATTGCATTCTAATATAAATACACGTCGATAAAGAGAATTATTGACAAAGTAGTTCAACGCGGTTTTTACGTTACAGCCACGAGTAAACGTGTGAAAATTAATTCCAAAGACCGTCCTCTCAAATCTAGGAGTCTAAACATTTTTTTTGCTTTTTCTCGTGCTCACGAGTAACGTTCACTTTCGATAACGATATCGTATATAATACGTGTATCGAGTCCCTCGTTTGAAGTACGTATGTACGCCACGATTCGGTATCACCGAGTATTACACACAACTATATTTTTTTCTTTTTTTGGTTTCCAACTTTTCAAGCACACTTGTGCACTGATCACGACCCGTTCGATTGTGCACGGCCATCGTTGATTACGATACCATTCTACGTGGTACATGTGATTAATTCAGTTACTTTTATCGTTTTATATGGCACCAACAAGGAATACGATTTAATCATAACGGTGGGTTATGGTGGCGGAGGTCTTCTCTGAGGCTCGGGGGTGTAACGTAGCCGGGCTCGCACATGTTGCGGGCTACCGGGCACAGAACTGCTCTCCGACAATCTTCTTGGAGGTGGTTGAGGTGGAGAAGACGAAATATGCCTTGAGTTAGAATAAGAGTTCCATTAAACACAGTTAGTCTTGTCTAAATTAAGCATACGAAACGGTCCGACGTATTAATATACCTCCGTGCGAGAGATGGAGAGGCTTGACCTACTAAATTCCTTCTAAGGGCAAGAGGTGATTCTCCGCGGCTCAATCTCGGCGGTGGCTCCGGCGAAGGAGCACGGTCGCTTCCGAGCCTGAGACGAACGTAAGAAGCAAAACGTTTCTTGGCGGATTCTTTCGATCCACCTTGAACCGGTGGTACAACGGACGATGGTTCTTGTTTTAATTGATGAGCAAAACGAGATATCAGTAGTTCGGGACTGGTAGAACCGTGAGATCCTTGCGGAGGCGGCTCAGACGGGAACCTGTGCAATAAAAAAAAACAAATTACGTAACACGAATCATCTACGATAGCGTTCGTTTCGTAATACATTACAACATTCATCATCGATTACCTTTTACGGCTGATCATAGGACTACCGTAAATGTCTTGCGCTTGCGGATGAGTTTGAGGCACGGGTGGAGTTTGTCCTAGTCGTTGTTGAAGAAACGGGGAGTAACGGCCACTTTCGGTCGGTTGTATCACGTTTGGAGGATCCACGTTCTCTCTCCTCCAAGGTGAATAATCACGTGCGAACGGACTTAGAGATCTAGAGACATTCTGCCATCGTTCTTTGCTCGTGTCCCGATCTTCCGTAAATCGTCCATGATAGGGCGAATAAAGTCTATTCCCAGAGTCTATCGTATTGGTGTCTTGTCGATAAGGAGAGTACGGTCTTTCTTCTTGTCTACCTTGTCCGTTGGTAGAACAATGATTCGCTGTATAATCCCGCTTTTGTTCGACATATTGCCTATACGGTGAGTACGGTCGTTGAAAATTTGTTTCCGATGCGTCGACGTCGTTCGACGAAGGAGGAGAAAACGGCCTCGATATTATTTCCTTCCGTCTAAGTGCGTACGGACTATAAGACACGTAGTTTGCACCATTTTCACTATTTGATCGTTGATGAAAGGGGAGAAAGTTGGTGGAGTTCTGTGAGTCTTTGGTGACATTGCTTCGTAGGAAAGCTGGTACTTCAGAGTGAGCCCTGAGATGAGCTGTTTGCTTTAAAGATACATGACCCGTAACTCGCTGCTGCCAGCCTGGCAATCTGAAACTGAATTTCACGACGTTAAACGCTTGTCGCGTATCGTGTCGAACATAAATTATTGGCACCCGAGAATCGGCTCGGTACATTTGAAAAACGGTCACTGGTATGCCCCGACGATTCTGTAAAAGAACCTAAGTTTATTCGAAGGTTAATGGAAGTTAGAGCATTAATCATAGTAGCATGCAACATAGACGAGGACAGAGGAATCTTTTGTCAAGGTAACGAATCGCAGAAGATATCTGTATTCGAGAATAGATAATTTAAAGTCATGCTAATAACTGGTAACTTTTAATTCCTAAGGTCGAAAGCAAGAATAAAAAATGTAACAAGAGATAAGAAACAAAACTTTTTTATGAACGATTGGAATTGTGCACAGGAGATAACTAATTTGTGCCACCGGGAAGACGCTAAACAATATAAAAACAAATAAACAAATATTGAAATAAATAAAAAGAATGCTTACCATGAGTGGGGGTTGAAGGGTGGGGTGTGTAACAGGCGCGTGCACAAACCAAACAACTCGAAATGAAAATCGGGCAGATTTTTGGATATTTGTGAGGTGTATTTTTTTTAAATTTTTTTTGGAGTTTGTGGATAGATTGTTTGAGGATAATGAAGAAGAGAGGGGCAGGGGCGAGGGAGAGGGGATGCTATGCTGCGCTGCCTCCCTCAAGCTCAACGCTGCAACACAATTTAACACGCACGCAAACTTTTAATCGAAATGTATGGAAAGGTGTTTGTAATTGTCATATGGTAATGAATAAAAGATCAATATATGTATTTATATGTATAAAAACAACTGGTATGCAACGAAAACCCAACTTTAAAACTCAGCATTATCTCTCGAGTTGTTTTAATACCTACCCATTAACCATAAAATGCTGAAGAGTGTTAAAAATATTTTAAACTAATATATGTATATAAC